TCTCCCCTATTGGAAATCGGGCGAAATGTACCTACGCTTCGAATTCCCTTTTCCTCCTCGGCCAAACGCACACACACAGCAGTTATATTCTTATCCTGCTGTTCAACTTTCTCTGTTTACACACCGAGCCGGCTCGCCGCCGTTTGCCGGGATCGACGGACGAGCAGAATTGACGGACCGGGGAGCCGTTTCCCGTTGAAATAACAATTCCCTCCGACGATTCATCTCCGTCGAACAACTCCATCGGTTGCCTGGCCTCTCTCTCCCTACCGATTCGAAAAGGTTCCAGGTATACACATCGAGACGGAGCATCCCTTTGTTCGAGGGGACACCGGTGGTCTGTACTTTCGCGAAAAAGTTCATCCGCGAAGCACCCGGAACAACCTCCGATCTCTGGACCTACCAGTTCTTGCGTATTTCCCGACTAAATCTTTTTTTTTCTGTACTAGAACTAGCTATTGCATTTTCAGTTCCCCGGGAAAAAGATTTTCGTGTTATTTGAACCCCAATAGAACCTGAAAATATGCTTCTATCAGAATTCCAAGCTCAATCACCAAGGAGTTTAAACACTCATCGAGGATTTACTGTACTCTGCAAAGTAGGCCGTCACAGTTCTGTACCCATCCGATCGTATTTGGTGTAAATATTAATAAATAATCCGCTGTATCTTGCCTAACTCTCGACGCTTCAAGGTTCCCGGAAGAAACGGGGGGGGCGACCCAGAGTCGAGAAACAGAACGAAGAATGGAACGGTGTCACGAGAAAGAGGCGAACAACGCGAGAGGAACGCGCGCGTGGAAGCGAGATGGAAGGGGCAGGAGGCTGTTTGTAGACCTCTCGAAGTCGCCGCACGCCCGAAACTCCGACGGCTTCGACGAGTGGATTATCGGTGGAAAGGAATTAACGAACGGGAGCGGCGAGGAGAGTACTTTCCCCCTTCCGTTTCGTCTAGTGGCTCTTCGTGGCTTTTAGATAAGGTTTCCCTCCATCTCAGTCCTACGCATCGGTACGAAACACACGCGAAACCTCGCGAGGCGCGAACCAAAGAGACCACCGATGAGATTTTAAAGCCGATTTTGTTCCTCCGTTTCTCTGTTCTAACGGCGGTTCTTCTTCTAGCAATCAGTTCTCGATTCACACCCCTCCTACCCCATTGAAGCGTGTGCGTGAAAGGTACTATGTGTACATATATATACGCAGCCTAAGCTCGATTTTTATCGCAAAGAATCAAAAGCGCGGGACCGACCTATATGTTGCTGCCCCGCCTCTGTAACCTTCTATTACTCGAGTGCCTTGTAACCCGGGCCGCAGTCCCCCCTGACGGCCCTCAAGCGAGCTCTATTGTCGATGTTCTCTGCGCGCCGCGAGAATGCAACGAAAGCACTTTAAGGGGGGCGGGCAACCCCCCCTTCTTCCGCCCCCTGTGCAGCGGACCGTGTCTCGAGTGCTCACCACCGTCTGTCTAATTCTTTGAATATTAGCGAGATCGGCCGCCCTCGAAAATTCTTTCCCTCGACCCCTTCGCGGTTGCGCGCACACGCCGTTCGAATACCAATCCAAACTTCCACCGGAACACTTCCTGTCGCGCGCGTCATTCAGGCTTCTTTCGCGTTCATCTTACAAGATATACAGGGTGTTCCACCTAACGTGAGCACCCTAAATATCTCACTTTTGCTTTTCAGAAGAACTATTCTAACAAATGGTCACAGAGCGACGTTCATCCACTTCGACACGTTTTTCTTCCAATCCCTATATCGTAGTTGCTTTATTATGTAAATCTACTTCTTTACATTTGTGGATTTTACGTACTCAATGTCACATGAAGGTCACACTATTATTGGATTGGTCTTGATCTCGACTATTACGCCACGATTATAAAAATATGTAGTTCTAGTTAACAAAAACACCGATGACCTAGAAAATTCGAAAAATATGACCTTGAGAGCATATCTGACGTACATCCAGGAAGTATTTTTTAAGCAGAACCTAATCGCTCTATGGAAAATGAGGTTATGTAACGAGGGTAAAGTAACGTCGTCGAGGTGTTAAAGATCTTAACCGGTATACTTAATGCTAGGCGCGACTGGTCCCATAAAAAATGTCGGAAAAGGTAGAAAGACTGAAGATTCAAATACAGTCACTCAAGATTCAAGAACAGTCAGCCTATTTAGGGACAATGGCGATATTTAACACTAGCGGCGATAATCCCGGCGTTACCGGATTAAAACCGGATGGAACACGGGGCCCCTATTGTCTTCGTTGGCGGGCGACAAAACGAGGAGCCCACCGGGCGCGATCATGATCTCGCGCCCCTGTGAACACCGCATAACGCGGACAATACGGATTATAACGCGCTCCTGTCATAAGCAGATGCCACGGTGTGCATGGTCCCGATCCCGTGGCTCACGGCCCGCTTCCCTAATCGCGTTCAATTGCCGTAAAAGCGGTCTCGAACGCGTTGTTGCTTCCTTACCCCCTCCCACCCCCCGAGACGGTGTTACGAAGCTGCACAATCGGGGGAACTTCAAGGGATGTAACCACTGTGAAGTTCTGAAAAATTATAATTTTTTGGGAATTTTTGTTGAGTAAAGAAATGTTCCACATAGGTGTTGTTTATTTATTAATACACTTATTGAGAGTATAAACAAATTTTTTTGAAACTTTTCATAGTTTCTCTTTATTTATATCTCGCACTGAAGTGAACGCCTTAAATAAATTATGTGGTGCTGGCGTGAGAAAAGAAATCCCCAAAAATGACAACTTTTCGGAGTATCCACAGTGGCAAGACCCCCTAAAATCTCAGACCCTTTTTTTAACACCTCGTAGAGAACTCCGATATCGTTTCCATCACGATCTTTCAATTACATTTCTCCGTTTATATATCCGTTGAACATCGCGAATGTCGACTTTTAAAACACAGTTACACTCAGGAGCAAAAGGTTTCGGAGTCTTTCACCTGTGCATCCTTAGAATAGTTTCAAAGACACGACACACACACACACACGCGCAATGTTTCTGAGTCGTATAAAGCATGTCCGCGGTTATACTATCGCGCACTCGGCCCTTCTGAAACCCCGTGGCATTATTATTCTTTCAAAGAACACCCGAGAAGTGTGTTACACACCAGCGAGTTCTCTTCGTTGCAGAGCTCCTTATGCTCGCACTTGGATCACCAAAGGATTTTCTCCGTGGTATCCACTCCGTGTACACGTTTCTTGCTTGTTTTTTTCTTGTTCCTCGAGATATTTGACTTTGTCTTGGGGGTTAATCGATCCCAATGCACGATCGTGATCGACTACGATTCGTCCCTATCCCAGAAGAATACTTCTCCTCGACGACGGTATTTTCAAACTTCATATGATTCTTGTGTGTACGTAAGATATTGTGGACGAGAAAATATTGTAAATACATGTTGCTGTATTCGGGCTCCTACAGCGTCATTGTCTAGATTGTCCACGTAGTCCACATACAGTATATCCTCGATGAGTGTTTGAAGGCTCCTTGGCACTGAGGGAAAGGTATCCCCAGGTGTAACGCTAACTTTTTAATGAGGTTTAGCATAGTGATAGCTAGGAATTTTAAAGCCAATGATATTTGTTTCTGTTGCATATAGCCATTAGTTTATGAAATATTTGATGTTCAGTGCCGAGAAGCCTTCTAGATATTGGCACACTGATATACCACCCTCTTGGTAAAATCCCTTCTACTTCACTGACACTTACACTTCCCTGCCACTCGAATCCTCACTTATTATATGACTATTTAATCCACACTTAATAACGTTCTGCCTCGTTCGACGTTTACTTCCGTACTAACCTTTTCTTCGTGAACCCCCGCGTTCTTTCCGCCACCCCCCACTAATTTCGCTTTCGTTTCATATCCTTCAAACTGATAATAATTAAGGTCATTTAGTCATACCACCGAAAACAACTCGCGATGGAATCGTCGAAAGAAACAAATCCACGTGGAAACGAAGAATCAATGGGGCAGGGAAATAGAGGGAAAAAAGGGGATCGGTTCTTGGCCGCGAAAAATCGGCCGACAAGAGCCCCCCCCGTTTCGTGGCAGAGGCGTTAAAAATCCCTCTCGAAGAAATAACAGACTTATAATAACTCCGGATTATGGATTTAGGGGTGGGGGATTTAGTGGATGGTTCCGGGGTCGCCTCTTAAAACGTGTATAGACACGCGACAAAAGGCTCGCGCTTCTCGACCCCTCTTGGAAAAATATTTGAGTTCCTACCTGCGCGACAGTTCCGCGGGGGACACGAAAAACGCCAGTCGCCTCTGCGTTCAGGGAGAGAGAGGAAGAAAGAAGGGAAATTCGATTGGACAGGCCCCTCTGACAGCTCAATCTGAACGCTCGGAGCATTTAACTTGAGCCCCCCTCCCCTCAAAAAATATATATCTGAAAATCTCGAACGATCGAATTTTATTTGGTCGTTTATCCAGGGAAACAATTGTTCAATGCACGAAATACTTATGTGTGACCTGGACTAAGAAAAAAGGTGGTTAACCTATAACACCTATTAAATTACAGATGAGGTGCGCGTATTGGGACCATGTTTCAGTCAACTAATCACGAGAAATAATTTTTTTCCCCGATAGAGGTGTTGGGCGTTAAAGGGTTAAAAATAAATTAGGAAAAATAAAAAAATAGGTTGATTTAGTATCGATATTTTCGACTTTGAAATAACAAGATACAACATATTTAAATAACAAGATACAACATATCATAAAGGTTAACAATTTATCCCCACTGAGACTCGGGCACAGAGCATTTATCATATACGACGTCAACCACCCACATTGAAAGGTCTGAAAGGGTCAAAGAACGAATAAAATACGATTAATCGAAACGGAAGCTAATTGCAATGAGATCAAGCTTTTATAAAAACAAAACACGCACACACAAATAAAGCTTGTCCCGCGTAAAGATTGAAAAAGTAAATGCACTATTCACCGTCAAAAAACACTCAAAACGATTCCTCTGAATTGCAGGTGAAGATATGGTTTCAAAATCACCGGTACAAGTGCAAGAGGCAAGCGAAGGAGAAGATGATGGCGGAGCAGAACGCTCAGAACCAGGTAACTATCCGTAAAAAAAGAAGAACCACTAACAACAATTCAATGTACCTACACTGCATGGCATAACCATAAAACCACCCTCAAAATTTTCAACAAATAACGCATTGTGATTAAAATAAAATCGAACTACGTTTTTTCTAGGGTATTCAATCTTTTCCTGGTGAAACATTACAGACTCCTCTAGATTATCGTCTGGCCTGTTCTACACGATTATTGTCCAGGCGTTGTTGCCCCTCCGTTTTTGTTGCAGAGGCTCGGGCTTCGGGTAAAAAACGAATTTACGAGGTTCTGAAGTATTTCTCCCTATAAGATTATTGTCCCGTGTTCAGGACAATAATCGAGAGGAGTCTGTATTACTCACCACGATTTCAGACACAGCATACTTGGTTCGTTTTTATTTCACCCACAATACATAAGAATTGAAAGTTCTAGGGTGATTTTATAGTTATGTCACGCGGTGTATATAAAACATATTCCAAAATAACCAAAGCCCGAAAAAACACGAACATCACTGAGTTTCAATATTAAATTCTCTCATTCTTCTCTCTCTCTCTCTCTCTATCTCTTCTCCGCGATAAATACGTGTCCCTCGATAGATCGGATTTTCACGAGGGATTTCGAAACGAGCGACAGAGGCACACACACGCGCACACACACCACACGACAAAATATCGAGCGTTTCGAAATGAAATGCTTTTAAATGAAAAATGTTCCCGGGGGGTGGGGGAAGGGATGGGATGAGGCTCGCGCGGATCCTCGCATCCACATCGTATTTCGTTTCGAGTGGGGGCCACTCGACCGTGCTCGAAGCGATTCTGCATTCATTTCGTTATTCCATCCAAAATTTTTCATGGATCACCCCCGGTGGGAGGGGGGTGCCGCCGGTAAAATCGTCGTCTCCGTTCAACACGTGAATTAACCGACGATCGTATCGTCGTTTTCCTTGCGTTTATTTGTACTTACTTCCGTTTCGCCCTTTTTTCTTCTCCTCTCCGCCATTTTGTTGTTCGCAATCTTCCCGTCAGTTTTGTTCAACGGGTTTCCGCGGCCGTATTACCACCGGAATCCGCGTGTACTATGTATTGAGTCTCGTTTAGCATTTAACGACGAAAAAGTGTCGAGTGTTTGCTACCGGAGATAAATCGTGAATATGCCATGTAAATACGTATACTATTGTGTCCTTCGATGAGACTGAGAATGGAAGGAGAGGTTATAAAATCTCGCGGAGATGTGTCCCACGCCGGGGTCTTAGTGGGAGGGATTCAAGATGGCGGCGGACGGCCGTCAGACAGATATCGTTTCTTCTTCGTGTTTGATCACTAGACTATGGGATGCTTTGTGCAATTTCAGATCTTTACGGACCAAGTTCGCAGAACTGAAATTATGTCGGAGATTTGTTTGTTTTGTTGAAGGAGTTTTTACGGTCCAGAGTAGAATAAATTGCATATGTACATATGAATCGTTCCCGGAAAATTTTTGCTGTACAATTTTTTTCACACTCAATCATTTTGACAGAGGCGAAACGGTAGAAACATTACGTAAATTCAAACTGTGTTATCGGTGCATGAAAGAGAAACAATGATAATCACTTAACCGGTACACACAATTGGGCCAAGTTGTGCAGCTACCAACCCGCAATGGTTTGAAACGAAGTAAATGTATTTTGAAGATTTTAATTTTAAAATAACCAAGTACCATTATTTCTATTGAGTATATTTTATATCTTGTTTTTAGTGGTTTATTCAATAGTGACTAGTATAATTAATATTATTTTTAAGTTTCTATGGCTTGGTAGTTTCAATAGTTATATTCAAGAGTTTCAATAGTTAATGTAAAAGTTGTTCTATGGATTGGTAAATAAAATCATTATTGGCAAAATAAAAATCACGAAATTATGGGATCCGTACCGTGTTTAACTAATTTTCTGTCATTTTAAGGACTGGTAAGTCCCTGCATAACTTGGCCCAATTGTACCTCGATCTTATAGTCAACCCCAGTCAGTTACCACGATCGCGAGTCTGACATCATCGGACTTGCAAATCGCGGTTTAACCAACGTGTTCGTTGGATAAAACTGAAAAAAAAAAATACATCGAGTCTTATTCCGTGTAACCTCTCATAAATACTCACACGTGTCGCTCCGTTCGAGGCTGTCGCGCGATAGAAATCCAACGAGGGAGCCCCCCTCTCCTTTTTGCCCCGTACTTTTTCCCTCCCATTCTCTGCTTTTTTTCTCTATCGATTCTAATAATGACACGGCAGATTCCCGTAGATACCGTAATTGCGAGAGTTCGAAAAACGTGCCCTGTCTCGATCTGGTCGACACGCGCCGGCGAATACGAATCGGCCCCTCTCTTCCCAGCCGAAGCCTGCCTCTCCTTCTGGAAGAATAACATTCAAAAGAGACGTCAGAGTTCGTCCGATCGTCCCGATACACACGCCGATTCCCTGCTGCTGTCTCTTTCCCCCTGGTGAATACATTACGTACGAGTATGCGGGATCACGGACCGTCCCTCGGCATGCATTAGCGGGCAAATCGTTCCGATTCGAATTTCCCGCCGCCGTATATTGGTCCGGAATAGGAAAATATCGCAGTTCCACCAGCAGGGCTTAGTTCAATTCGAGCAATCGGAGAATTTAGAGACTTAAGAGAGAAATGTAGATCCTGGATCATCCTTCTATAATGCAGTCAGCCTGGGTTCACAATGATCTCATCCTTCCGTTTACCCCAAAGTCAACCGAAATCTCGCTCGATCTCCGTCGGCTTACCAAAAGATCAATTTGCTAAACCCTCTGGCTCACAGTGTCGTAATCCAAGTCCTCGATGATCCTTCGACCATTAATCCACGGTGTCACAAACTGGTCTGTTCCACCGACCATTGAATCACCAAAGAAACAGCGACCCTCCTTACTAACCCTTTATCGCACAGACCATTAAATCGTTGTTTCAAAATTATGAAACTGATATATATTTGTTGTATCTTGTTATTTTTAAGTCGAAAATATCGATATTGAATAGACCTATTTTTTCCACTTTATTTATTTTTGGAAGAAATACTTGAATTTTTCAACTGAAATTCAAGTATTCACGCGGCAATCAACCTGTTAAAAACAACATTTTATTTTTTTTTTTTTATTTTGAAATCTTCCCACTTCGTTATCGTTCTTTTCCCCTCCCTAGGTCATCCCGTTTCTTACATTTCGTTTTTTTTATTGTTTTCAATTTAAACTCAATCTCCCTCTCACGTTCACGCTGGAATATATATTTTTCCGAAATACATAGGCGCGCGTCGCGGCACTCGACGCGGGAGATTCACCGCGTTTCGCGACATAAGCGGATATCCGCCGGCGTTAGGAGCTCTTTCACGTGTGCCATCGAATATTTCGATGGAAATCCGATATGTCCCCGGTCCCGAGGATCGAAAAAAAAAAATGTCTAGGAAATTCCATTTCGTTTAGGCTGCAGCTCCACTTTTCCGATTTTCAAAAAAAAAAAAAATTGGTAAAATTGTCTCGAATCATTGGACATACGTAAAAGGATGAACATACATGGAAAATTTCAGGAACTTTCTTAAACATTACGAAAAATCGTGTTAAACGGAAGTTGTAGATTCAAATGTAAAAATACATTCTCGTACCCAAGTATTAGGACACATCGTATACGAACTAAACGAATTGTTGACGGTCTGAAACAAACATTTTCTCCAGGCAAACTTACACCTCGATCGACAACAATTCCGCTAATATAAAATAGTTAAAGTTTCCGAAAATATGTAATATTTACGAAACATCACATTTTCTTCATACATGTACATCCTTCGTTATGTATTCACCAACACCGAGCACAATGATTCCAAAGTAAAAAAAAAAAAAATAAGCCAACCATGTAAAAAGAAGAATCTCTTGAATTCCAAACTCAAAAAGAATACACGGCCAATCGCCCCCACAACCGTCATTTCAATCCCGTTCCACCAACGATACTATCCTTTATCCGCTCGGGCGAGCGCAAGTTCACAGGATGATCGGCTCCGACGCATGGAATCTCAACATTGTCGCCGGCTCGTAAACACCCATAGAACGGTGTAATGGTGCCTGAAAGTTATCCTACCGGCCGATCTGTAAACCGTCCAACTCCACGCCCCTCGATTCGTCCACGCCAGGACGAGCAGCCGCCCCATAATTTACTCGTTAGTTTTTCGTTGCCCCCCCCCCTTCCTCGGTGGTGGACTCCCTATCCAGCCACTACCATCTGGACTCCCCCGCTCCCATTATCTCGATCTGCTCGGCGATACGTGTAATTTGCGTGTGGCCGGGCTTTCTCGCGTGCAAACGCACCCGAACACGGGACCTATGTAGGAACGATCCGAGACGGATGCCAGGCGGGCGTGGCACAGTTGTTACAGCATTGTGTTGCGACGGGCACAATAGAGGGACACGGGAACAGGTTTTAGGAGAGGACCTCTTGGGCAGGGGATGGTATTGGACGGAAGGATACAGTGTTATTGCTTCCGTTCCGATTATCACGGATAGATTGGCACTACAGTAAATTCTCGATGAGTGCTCGAAGGATCCGTCGGTACTGAACATTAAATATTTTGTAAACTAATGGCCGTATGCGATTGAAACAAATATCATTGGCTTCAGAATTATAAGGTTAATATTATAGAAGAAGGATAGTAGTGAAATAATCACGCACCACTATAATATCATCTACTGCCAAGAGTTCATAATTCTTAAACGAAAGTTTCGAACGTAAAGTTTCGTCGTGCTCGAGTTTACCATGTAGAATCCATCCTGTCCGTAGAAGTGTCAAAAATTTCGAGATGATACTCAGACGTTCCTTAGAAATTTCGTGCAACTGCGAAACACTCGTGGTTTACACTTGGATGATTTTTAATCGTATGTGGTACACGATACCTACCGGTTCGAAACTAGGACGAAGACTTCTCGAGTGTAGTTATCAACGGTACGTATTCCTTGAGAACTCTCACGGGAGAACAC